ATACCTTGTGCATGTCTGGGAATGTTACCGGTTGTGTTGCTTACAGTGTTAACTTGCCAAGTGACGTGGACGATTTAGACACACTGTAATAATTATATACTCTCTGTAATGAGTCACTATAAAGTACCGGGTTTTAACGTGAATTAAAGGACTGGTTACGGTGTCTGAGACGGGTGCAAACATGCATGCGAATACAATGACCCCATCTCTCACAATGCAATCCGAGTGCGAGACCTGACTCGCATACACTACCACACTATGCACGAGTGTTGAGACTTCTACCTACACATTCAGACCATAAACATGAACTTCTCCCTAATGCACTTGCAGTTCTTTCTCAGCTCTACTAGAAATTTATTGTGTGTGTACCAAACATTTATTGTGTGGATCATTATAGTTCCCTTAATTATTGCAATCTCTTGATAAGATTGTCATCACTTCTCAGCCACAAAGCCCTTCTCCGATCAGGGATCACCGATAACTAAATTGTGCACAAAGAAATCACATTAATGTGCTGTAATGTATCAATGAGAAAATCAGTAAGCCATGAGGAGGAATCGAACCAGCACACAGATTTAACTAGTACATAAATGACCCTTCAGGCCGATTTACGGAAAAGGTCTTTTGGGCCATTTTTTATGCTGTCCTTGCACGGAAAGTGGTGAGTAGTCTAACTACATTAGCTACTTTTAATCCCCCCCCCCCAATTAAAAGTAAGATAATACACATTAAGAGAGAAGGTGGCCCTTCCTCGGATGGTGGAGTTTTCACTCTTTCAGGAGTGGCAAGGAATGGTGTGACATTAGCCTATTGACCCAGTGATTTTGTTTGTGTCAAGTCATGCCCGAGTGACTGCATTCTTTTACGCCGTATAATCCTGGGTGAAGTTGGTGTGTAAGCCACACGGATGGACACGTTCTAACTAACGGGACAACTAAATGCTTTATACATATCGGCAGTCTTTATACATTTGGCAGTCTCCGTGGTGTAGTGGTAAGACACTCGCCTGGCGTTCCGCGAGCGCTATGTCATGGGTTCGTATCCTGGCCGGGGAGGATTTACTGGGCGCAATTCCTTAACTGTAGCCTCTGTTTAACGCAACAGTAAAATGTGTACTTTGATGAAAAAACGATTCTTCGCGGCAGGGGATCGTATTCCAGGGACCATAGGATTAAGGACTTGCCCGAAACGCTACGCGTACTAGTGGCTGTACAAGAATGTAACAACTCTTGTATATATCTAAAAAAAAAAATATATGACAACAGTCGGGAAAGTGAGATAAGTATACTGACGTGGCTTGTAACTGGAGTATATCTTTCTGGGGTGTAGTTATGGAGTATTGGGGGAGGGGGGGGGCAAGAGTTAATTTATAGGTTGTAGTTGAGTAGCGTGACCAGGAGTTGCTAGGGACAAGAAGTGACTACTACCCTTGTCCAAGTAACCCAGATTCTTTAGTGGATATGATTTATTTGTAGTGTGAGATCTAAGATATTAAAGTCTATCTAAGATATTAAAGTTTGTGGCTACTTCATCGTGTGGGTGTTGCGTTGAGGATAGTTTATCAAGTTTATTGACCTGTCATGATGACGCCATAATTACGTCACAGTGACGTCACAATTTGTGCATACCATATACTTATATGAAATGCAGTTAGGTTAGGTTGGGTATATTTAGAGTAGAGATGTGACAGGGTGGCGAAAATTAGCTCAGGTTTTGGACCCTTCTCCATAGCAGAAGGGGCCTCGTAGCCTGGTGGATAGCGCGCAGGACTCGTAATTCTGTGGCGCGGGTTCGATTTCCGCTCGAGGCAGAAACAAATGGGCAAAGTTTCTTTCACCCTGAATGCCCCTGTTACCTAGCAGTAAATAGGTACCTGGGAGTTGGTCAGCTGTCACGGGCTGCTTCCTGGGGGTGGAGGCCTGGTCGAGGATCGGGCCGCGCGGACACTAAAGCCCCGAAATCATCTCAAGATAACCTCAAGATAGGTCAATTGTCTTGGTCTCGACAAATTACAGAAGCGAGATACGCCTCTTACTGCACATGCACGACCGCCCACACGACGGGTATAGGATTCATAATAAGTACCATCCACTTACAAGAAACGTGGTTAATAGTAAAAGTCAGCTGGTGCATTGGGAAGGCTGAACCATGACAAGTGTGTGTGTGTGTGTGTGTGTGTGGTGGAGAAAAAAAAATATTAAACAGTTGATTGACAGTTGAGAGGCGGGCCGAAAGAGCAAAGCTCAACCCCCGCAAACACAACTAGGTGAATAGGACTTGGTGAATACACACACACACACACACACACACAACTAGGTGAGTACACACACACACACACACACACACAGCCCCCCTTGGGGCTGTGTGTGTGTGTCTTTCTCTTCTCTCTCTTTTCTTTCTCTCTTTTGTCTCTTTTCCCCTTCCCCCCCTCTTTTCCCCTTCCCCCCTCTTTTCCCCTTCCCCCCTCTTTTCCCCTTCCCCCCCTCTTTTCCCCTTCCCCCCCTCTTTTCCCCTTCCCCCCCCCCTCTTTTCCCCTTCCCCTCCTCTCTCCCCTTCCCCCCCTCCTCTCCTCTCTCCCCTTCCCCCCCTCCTCTCCCCCCCCTCCTCTCCCCCCCCTCTCCCCTCCCCCCCCGTCCGCGTCGCCACGCACGGGGTCATAGAGTATACACTCTCTAACACACCAAGCCTTCGTCGGTGTGCTCTTCTTAACAACTAGCCACTGCTGCTATATAATGTTTCTCTGGTGAGAAGGTATAGACATTGTTATGTTGTTGTTCAAGGCTGTGTGGAGCTGCTCTCTGGAGAGTGGCATGGCTTTGGAAGCGTACAGTTTGTATCAGCTGGGATGTTGGGGTTAAGGTGCGGGGGATTACTGGGGGGGGATGTGACGGGGGGCGCTAGGTATTCTGTCTTAGTGTCGATTTCGGTGTGTGGCGTCCATGTGTTAAACATGTGCAGTATTTAGCGAGGAGGTCAGTGTTCACGCGTCACGGGATACCGTCGCTACCGGGGACACAATAACAAAAGAAAGTGGATTTACATTGGCTCTGTATTATGGTTAGTTGGCTGCTGCTGTAACAGGTTTCGCTGGGCATTAAGGACAACAACAGGTGTGACCAATGTACTGAAATTGAGAATACTATGCATATATTTTATTTTTGTAAGCAGAAAGTTGTTCTTGTAAATTGGATTAGTGACACTCTTAAAGCTTTATGTGGACCAAGTATTAGAGTGGAGTTAATGAGGTTTTTAATGTTTCATATTGACATAAAATGCAAGAAAATTAAGAATACAATAATTATGCTACTTTTATTACATTTTTTGTGTGTGGATAGGTAGGCAGGAGGGTTACTGTGTGTGGATAGGTAGGCAGAAGGGTTACTGTGTGTGGATAGGCGGGCAGGAGGGTTACTGTGTGTGTAGATAGGCGGGCAGGAGGGTTACTGTGTGTGTAGATAGGCGGGCAGGAGGGTTACTGTGTGTGGATAGGCAGGCAGGAGGGTTACTGTGTGTGGATAGGTAGGCAGGAGGGTTACTGTGTGTGGATAGGTAGGCAGAAGGGTTACTGTGTGTGGATAGGCGGGCAGGAGGGTTTGTGTGTGTAGATAGGCGGGCAGGAGGGTTACTGTGTGTGGATAGGCGGGCAGGAGGGTTTGTGTGTGTAGATAGGCGGGCAGGAGGGTTACTGTGTGTGGATAGGCAGGCAGACAGGAGGGTTACTGTGTGTGGATAGGTAGGCAGAAGGGTTACTGTGTGTGGATAGGCAGGCAGGAGGGTTACTGTGTGTGGATAGGCGGGCAGGAGGGTTACTGTGTGTGGATAGGCAGGCAGGAGGGTTACTGTGTGTGGATAGGCAGGCAGGAGGGTTACTGTGTGTGGATAGGCAGGCAGGAGGGTTACTGTGTGTGGATAGGCAGGCAGACAGGAGGGTTACTGTGTGTGTGGATAGGCGGGCAGGAGGGTTACTGTGTGTGGATAGGCGGGCAGGAGGGTTACTGTGTGTGGATAGGCGGGCAGGAGGGTTACTGTGTGTGGATAGGCGGGCAGGAGGGTTACTGTGTGTGGATAGGCGGGCAGGAGGGTTACTGTGTGTGGATAGGCGGGCAGGAGGGTTACTGTGTGTTGATAGGCTGGCAGGAGGGTTACTGTGTGTGGATAGGCGGGCAGGAGGGTTACTGTGTGTGGATAGGCGGGCAGGAGGGTTACTGTGTGTGGATAGGCAGGCAGGAGGGTTACTGTGTGTGGATAGGCAGGCAGGAGGGTTACTGTGTGTGGGGATAGGCAGGCAGGAGGGTTACTGTGTGTGGATAGGCAGGCAGGAGGGTTACTGTGTGTGGATAGGCAGGCAGGAGGGTTACTGTGTGTGGATAGGCAGGCAGACAGGAGGGTTACTGTGTGTGTGGATAGGCAGGCAGACAGGAGGGTTACTGTGTGTGTGGATAGGCGGGCAGGAGGGTTACTGTGTGTGGATAGGCGGGCAGGAGGGTTACTGTGTGTGGATAGGCGGGCAGGAGGGTTACTGTGTGTGGATAGGCGGGCAGGAGGGTTACTGTGTGTGGATAGGCGGGCAGGAGGGTTACTGTGTGTGGATAGGCGGGCAGGAGGGTTACTGTGTGTGTGGATAGGCGGGCAGGAGGGTTACTGTGTGTGTGGATAGGCGGGCAGGAGGGTTACTGTGTGTGTGGATAGGCGGGCAGGAGGGTTACTGTGTGTGTGGATAGGCAGGCAGGAGGGTTACTGTGTGTGTGGATAGGCAGGCAGGAGGGTTACTGTGTGTGTGGATAGGCAGGCAGGAGGGTTACTGTGTGTGTGGATAGGCAGGCAGGAGGGTTACTGTGTGTGTGGATAGGCAGGCAGGAGGGTTACTGTGCTTTTTATACGAATTGTTGGGCTGTTGGGCAGAATTAATTTTAAAGATACATATAATATAATATTTTAAATACTTTATTTCTTTAGCTTATTCAGTTTGGAATTTAATATGTATTTTGTGTACTCGTAAGGTTGGGTGGACGACCAGTGTCGCCAAAGACAGCTATGGAACAGGAGAAGCGTATTCGGCGTGAGATAGCCAACAGCAACGAACGGAGGCGGATGCAGAGTATTAACGCAGGGTTTGCTTCACTCAAGACTTTGCTGCCACACCACGAGGGAGAGAAGCTCAGTAAGGTGAGTTTCCACTGATGTTGACACCACCTAGAACAAAAATTACTGGTAATAATGATATGGCGTAGTAAATAGACTGAGTAGGCTACGTTGCGCGTAGTCAGCAGGTGAGGTATACCACTAGAGTATTCCCAGGGTTAAGAGGTATGAGCTACTGGGGAAGTCATAATATAAGTAAGCTTCGTCACTGGGAGAGAAAACCAGGTAAGAGAGGTCACCACAGGGAGAGAGAAAGTAACATAAGAGTTCATCACATAATACCTGGCAAGCATAGACAAACTATTTGTTGTTGCCGACGTATGAACAAGGGTAGTCTGCTGGCACGGGTACTACTATTTGGTAGGCAACAAGGGGCCCGTTGTGGACTGTGCTAGGCTACAAAAACTGGCTTGCAACACTCCTGGGCTTCGGTAACCCTCGAGGGACATATTCAACTGCACGCGGGTGTGTTTCTTTTGGAGTCCAAGTATATTGAGCAGCGCCTCGCTGGGCAGAACAGCTGGCTGTTATATTTGGAGGGTTAGGTGGGTAGGGGACGGGGAGAGGCTGCAGCTGTGGGCATAGCATACGCGTCGGACAAAGGTGCGTGATATTGCCACTGGATGGCCAGGTACTTCAATTGGCTTCTGAAACCTCTTATTTCATAATCACCTATTCCGTGGAATGTGCTTTCGTTTGCTAATGTTTATATAGGAAAGACGGCGAAATATGAGTGTTCGTGGCTCTGTTCACGCTAAAATCTTCTATAAATAAACCATTGTACTTGGATATGATTGGTTTGGGATCAAATGAAATATTTACTGAAGGTGGCCAGGATGAGTTTACGGTGCTTTAAATAAACGTCAAAATAAAAAGTAGAAAATTCTAGATTTTTCACTTAAATAACTAGTTAGGTAGACAAGTGTTTCGAAATGCAGTTAAGAAGCAAAATGTCCCCTGTCGAATAGCTTAACGATCATAATGTCACTTAGTAGTCGATTCAATGTTTAATTCATTTTGTCGGGGACAGGAAGCCTGTGTGTAAGTATACAGTACTCCAATCTTGTATTTGTCGCATTCAAGGTCGAACTGCTGACCCTCCTCAAGATGAAACCTCACGATAGCCGTCTAACTCCCAGATACCTATTTACTGCTAGGTGAACAGACACATTAGGTGTAAGGAAACGTGCCCAGTCATTTCTCTCCCGCCCGGGAATTGAACCCGGGATTCTGGATTGTGCAGATTCGGAGTAGAGAATGAAGCCAACTGTACTAAGGGTATCAACTGTACCCTCTCACACGTGAATCAGTTCAAATATGTCCACAATTATGTTAAAGTTCTCCCTTCGCAAAACTAATTCAGCATATAAGAATATGAACAAAAAATATGTATTAAGGTTTAAAAAAAATTGTAGTACTTTATATCGAAGTTAAACACGGTATTCATTGTCCGAGTTCATTGTGTAAAACCGCATAGAACGTAGCGTCAGTAATGATTCGGCGAGGCAATGTCACGGTGAAGGCAGCCCGGAAGGTTTACATCACATGGTGTTATGTGTGAGTGTGCACGTGTATGTCATGAATGGTGGCGTGAGCGTGGCGGGAAATATCAGCTGACTAGAGTAGGAGCGGGAGGTGTTCGTGTTGATGGTGGGCCCCACACTCTCCCGCACTCTTATACTCACCTCTGCTCTCTACGATAATATAGTCTTGTGTCGTCGTGTTACGATTATGTATCACTTGTTTTTGTTATGAAATGTTATTGCCAAAAGTGTAGGGTTTTATGTGCATATTTATTGGAAGTAACATAGAGTTCACTATATGCGGGGTTTCAAAACAGAGCCAGCTGATTCGGTTTCCATGACGACGATCGACCGGGCGTAGCCTCGCCCCGCCCCTTAACGTACTACCGCTGGCCGCATGGTAAACTATGAACAGTATTAAGGAAAACTACGTAAATACTTCTTTTCTATTCATGCTACGGTCGCTATAATACTGTAAATATAGATTTAGCGTCAAATGAGAAAATGCGACGTTAAAATTTCATTTGTTTAGGTGAAGTGAAGGTAGGGAAGCGGCACCCCCACGTGGCGAGACGGGGGTTGGCGCGAGGCTAGCGGCGACCATGTGGCGCGCATTTCGGGACCCCGCACCATCACTGCATTGTACTCCACCAGCGCTGCATTGTTCAAATTTTTAAATAATATATTAATTCAATCTTCTACTGAAAGGATGTGGGGCGAAAAATAGGGAAAGTTTCAAATACTGAAGATTCAGCATCGCCTGGCGTTGTAATCTCAGCAGGATTGTTTTGGTTTGGGCGACCCGCACCACGTGACTTATACCAGCTGACGTCTGGCCAGACGCTCCTAGCTGAGGAAAATGGCGCGAAATGTACTGGGTGGCTACTTTTGCAGATAATTTTATTTGACCATGTACCTTTACATTTATATACATACCATCGACATTCTCATGAAAGAGCTTTCAGCGCCGCAAGATACCAGTACGTGATGTTGACATGCTATTAATAGTTTAAATTAACGCATGGTGCATGCTCCCGGGTGATGTTGCTAAGTTTCAAGGCGGCGACAAAAATACTATCGTATACTTTTAAAGTTTTGAATGAAAACAGTGGATTTAACTGGAACAGACGGATATTAATGTTGTAATTTACGAACAAGACGCGTCTACATTTGTAATGCGTGCCTAATATAAAATATTTACTTCTCTGAAATAGAAGATTGCTTTTTGTCATCGAAATCGTGCTTCCATAAATAGAATTTGTTGTACAATTTGACGGAGACGCCAGCACCAAAGTCCTCCTGTGGTCTTGTGCCCTGTCCCTAGCGGAATGACCATGAGGTATGTTGGCCAGTTCCCCCTCCCTCGTTATGTGGGGCGGTTGCCATACTTTGAAATTCACGCTACATTCCTTCGTGTACTTTTTTCATAATTTAGTTTAACAATGCAGATATTGATTATTAGGCTGGCTGTTGGGATGGCACGGGGAGAAGGTGGTAATGCGTTGGTACTGGCGTTAAGTCGGTTAAAGGTAAATTTGGGTAAATTCAGGAAACAGCTGACCAGGTCAGTGGAATCCTGTAGAGTTCTCCTTAAACTGGTTTGCCTGGATTGAGTGGTCAGTTTTTTTTTTGTTTAGACCGTTGAAATGTTACAAAACACTGCTATAAAGCCAATTTCTTAAATAAAGCTTTTTATTTAACAACATTATAAACATTAGGCATCTACCAAGTGACTCCCACAGCTAACACATTGCAAATACTGGTAACTGATCAGGAGGTACTGTTGTTGGCTGCTAGCTGGAGATGATATTGCACACAACATACATCTACAGTCATTGACAGCCGGGACGCTGTTTATCATAAGCTTTGCATTTTTTGTTTCTGTGTGTGTGTGTGTGTGTGTGTGTGTGTGTGTGTATGTATATGTGTATATATATAATATATATATATATATATATATATATATATATATATATATATATATATATATATATATATATATATATATATATATATATATATATATATATATATATATATATATATATATATATATATATATATATATATATATATATATATATATATAATATAAGCTTTTTGAGTGACGCCTCCATAAACCTGTGTTCCTTTGTGTATAATTTTTCGACTAATTTCAGCTGCTTGCACTCTGTTAATGAGAAATTTTCGTATTTAAACGCGTGAATATAATTAATCGGCATTGATGTTGTTCAAAGCTGGCCGTTGTGTGACACGTTCTCCACTAGCTTGTTCCTCTCCACCCTTCCTTCCTTCACTCCACTTCTCATCCCTTTATCCTCCGCTCTTTCTTATCATACCTTCCACCCTACTTCGCTTCCTCCTGACCATCCTGACCCTGGAAAAGAAAAAAAAGATCTTCCCTTTCCTCCGTGTCTACTAGCAGTCTTGTAATGGCTCTCACAGCGCTGCATCTCCATATGATCTGCAGCAGCATATTTCCGGATGATGCAGCACAGACTTCTAAAATGAGAAAGTACTTAGAGTAACGATGTGGTTGAAAGTACGTCTCATGGCCCACCAGAAGGTAGAGTTTCGTAGTGTTGAACAAACTGGGAAAAGTTGTTATATTTGTTGCTAATAAAACCTAACCATCCTAGGCCTAATGCTCGCCGAGACCAAATATATTACAAATTTATGCTATACTAGGCCTAAGAATATTTTAATTTGGTTTTTAGCTTTATTTTTTCCTGAGAAAAGAGTACAAAATGTAGCTTACGGGGACTCCATTATTACATATTGGTACCATCGGCCATATTTACAATATCAAAACAGGAGGATGAGTTGGATGATGAAGTACAGGTGTGGATGCGTGCGTAAATTAGTACAGGTCGAAGCGTACGTCAACTCTTCAGGTATGGTTTGACCCTTTTATACCAAAGTCTAGAACTATACTTAAATCATAAGTGCTGCTGCGGCTGTTTTTGATTCAGCTACTCAGAACGAAATGTCCACGTAGCAGCAGGGGCTATAGTGAACCTGTAACTATAAGTGCTTTATTCTACTTTCAATATATGTTGAGATCAGGTGTAGGTACTCGGGTTATAGGATCAGCTGAGACCATTTGTAAACAACGCTCCCGGGTGGGGGGGGGGATTAGTCTCCTCAGAAAAGTTTCGTTTTATCTACGATTATGATATATCGTAAGCGGATGTGTTTTGTTTGTTTTAGTTTAATGATCAGACAACCATACATTAGGTGAGTATTCTTAGGCATTACCCGAAGTAAATGGTAGTATGTGAAGTAGAGGGAGGAGGGGTGGCATGGTACTATTATGCTTGGGAACAGTGCGATGGGAAGTTAAACAAGGAAAAGGGGCGTGAGAGTGAGTTTGTATCCCACGGTCCTGGCAGCTTATCAGTCACCAAGGTGATCCCGGGTGTTAGCATGACACAGTGTGGGGGTGAGAACTAGCGTGGCGGCGTCTACGCCAAGATGAGGCCACCAACACAAACACGGCCA